TAATCTCATTTCTTTTGGCAGTTGACTACTACCCTGTTAGTGATATTTATTAAAAATAGCAGGAATGTAGATGTTTGTTCTCTTCTGCTTATTTATTTATGGTGTCATCATGGTAGCACATACTGCTGTGTTTATTTTTTTTTTAATAAGTCTTCCTTTTACTGAAGCTTTTTTCATCCCTTTGCAATCTATAAAAAACAACTGCTTTGAGAAATTGCTAAGGCCTGATTATAACTTCAGTGAGTTTGTGTTACTCATTGCCATAATAAATTTTTAGAAAATATTTTGAGATTTTAGGATTTTAGACCTAATTTTGATCAGTTACTGGCGTAAGTCTGAAGTAAAAGCAGAGCACTTGAAATGAGGAGCAGAGCATTGGATTAATGCTATTGATTTCTTTCAAAAGCTTTCCTGCAATTCCCCTTGGTGAGTTATTCAAGCAAAGTTTGTACTTAGATCTTAACAATAATGTTTCTTTCATCTTTTTCCTAATAAAACTTCATTTGCCTCATAACGTCCTTTGTCAAAACCTTCTTTAACATTTCATTTTGTTGCAGTCCATATCCAGAAAACTAAGCCATTTTGCATCTCTGTCTTTTGTTTTGAGGGAGGGGGGAAGAGGGAGGGAGGAAGATGGCCAAAATCAGTCTTTTTGGTATACCTCTGTTTTTGTAAGCGTAAGTGCCTGGCAGGTGAGATTTTCCAGTGTCAATCTAGTAGATTAGGTACCTAATTACAATCTTAGAAATTTAGGATGAGAGTGCTTGCAACTTATTTTTCCATATATCTCAGGAGTATTCATTTTCTCTCATTTTTGCTTGTTTCCGAAGGACTTCCTTTGGTACCTACTCGGGCACAATCTCCCTTTTATTCATTCTGTAGGAAAGCCTGTTATAACATTTTTTCATAAAAAGACATGAAAAAAACTCTTTCTCATCTTTTGTCTATTTACATGTTTTTAAACTTATTAAAAAAGACTTCTCACAGAAGTAAGTGAGAAAACAGACATGTAAGTCTATGCTTCACACTCTTTATTAGGTTTATTTTCAGAAAGTTTGGCTTAACACTGAAAAGCGTATGAAATCATGGTCGTACTTTTCGAGGGAGGGAAATGCCAAGCACTTAATTTTTGCTTTAATAATGATTCTTTGTGAAAAATGAACATACACATGGGGAAACCACTTCAATAAGCAACCTCTTAATTTTGGATTATACTTGGAATTTATTTGTATTACAATAACTGTCAGGACTACAAACTGGTTTGCTGGGAACTACAAACATATGTCATTGTGTACAATGACAAAGGTAAAGCAACTTACAAAATTGCTTATAGTGAGTCTGTGAATAGAAAAAGAAACCCCAGATCTCTGTTTACTCCCAGTAACTTTCTTCCTCCTGTTTAAAGAATCATTTTGCACACTTCAGTTTCCATGGATTCTCCCACTGTTCCTCTGAAAAATGAAACTCTTTCAACCGGCGGGTTCTTTTTGAATAATTTTTTATCATTCATGTCATTGCTTATATCTTATTTCATTGGACATTGATATACCATCCAATATACTTTCTGTTTCCTGTTACGATATTAAGGAGATCTTTTTTATATATATACTTATTCAATATTTCACTGAATTTCACTGAATTTCTAGAGTTGGAAGGGACCATAGAGATCATCTAGTCCAACTCCCCTGCTGAAGCAGGATTGCCCAGAGCTAGAGCATGTTACTCAGGA